GAATTACATAAGATTCAAATCAATCACAAAATGTGTTATGTACATGATACTTACAAGAGATAAACAAGTTGTATTATATGAACAACATTTTTAAAACATCAGTTCTCTGCGTAATTATATAAACTCAAAACTTTATTCTAAAGATGATAACCAATCTAATAAAGCTTTGTTGGCGAGCTCAGGAACCTCATCATGAGGACAATGCCCAGCTTGCAAATTCACAACAGAAGTCTTTGGATATAACTCTTTGCAAATTCAAAACCGAAACCGAACCGAATTTCGGTTGGGCCGAATATTCGGATGAAGGGAAAAAAATCTGGATCTGGATGAGAGTTTTGAGCATCCGAAAAATTCGGATTAGATGCGGATTGGACATAAAACCGAACCGAACCGAATATGCCCAGCCCTAGTGCCGAGTGGCTTGTCCTTCAAGAAGCCCATAGATTGGATGAGAAAGTTTGAAATCGGCCTAAAAATGCCCAAAATCGTTTTCTAGTGATCGATCCAAAAATGTATTAATCAACAAGGCCCAAAAGGACCCATTAAAAGTTGGGCCAGGAAAATTCCTGTTTTTTGCGCGATCGAACTTTTTGGTCTCTGCCATGAAGTTGTGCAGTAATAATCTTTAGTTTATTGAATTATTGCAAACTTTTGCTCATAATAGAAATCAACCTCATTGATTAGGTTGGTTGTTTGTGTCTTTAATTTTGGAAATTTCTTTTCGAAGAAAATAGACCCCATAGCTTTCTATCTTTATAATATAGAAATTACTATAATGCTCCTAAGGACGAACCATCCTAAGGTTCAGAACTCGCCACATCATGAGGGGCGTTCTGAGAGATTGGGCAATCCACTCAAAGACCCCAGCTAAAACTAAAAAAAACTATTTATCTCCATTTTCACTCCATCACCACTTACTCAAACCTACTAGTCATCTTTTTCTTTTTCCTTTTTTTTTTGTCATTGTTACTTCTCATGTCTCATTTAATCCTAAACAAAAAAAGGGTGTGTTTGATAACTTGATAGTAATCCGGTTAAGATCTTAACCGGGTTAGGATTGAACCAAATTTGGGGTGGTTCAAAGATAACCTATTAAGAGCCATTCTTTTCTTTGAACTAAAAAGAACTAGTTCAACCTTGTACGAGTTTTTGCCAAATACATTTTAGACTTTTATCCAAGAACAAATTGTCAAAACAGCCTCAGACTAGTTTTTATTTTTCAAAACCGACCCACCTTTTTTTTTTACCAAAATCGACCCACTTTTTTTTTACCAAAATCGACCCACTTTTTGCCACGTCAGTTTAATCTCATTACTAAACAGTCGGGGTTGGCAACTCTGACTGTTTAGAAGGTTGTTAAACCCTAATTAGAAGCCTTAAACACGATTTTTTATGCCATAAATAATCGGGGTTGGCAACCCCGACTAATTAGGAAATAAGAGTAAGCTGGCGTGATAAAAAGTGGGTCGGTTTTGATAAAAAAAATGGATCGGTTTTGAAAATTAAAAACTGGTTTGAGGCTATTTTAAAATTTTGTTCTTTTATCCAAGTTAATGGTGCGTTGCCAAACAAGCCCTAAATATAGGACTTAGGTTGGAACTAAAGGGTCTGCTTCTCCTTCGACGAGTGTGATCGAAGCCAATTTTGTTCTGGACCACCTTCCTTCCTTGGATTCATTTTGAAGTCACTAAAATTCTTAATCCATTTGTTCTCACTTTTAATATAACCCGAGAGAATTCGACTCTTAAATCATAATTGTCTATTTCAAAATGTTTTTCTACGGAGCATTCTTTACACTTTATTGAAAACAATTCATGATTATCTTATATAAAATAAATACTTTCCGTTTGAAAAAATGGACTACTTGTTATGAACCTATTGATGAATATCCATAAACTCAAGAATTTACTTCTTCCTATTTAACTTTTAGAGTTATTACTAAGGTCTTATATAACACACACACACAGGAAAACTCCTATAAACTTAAGTGAATAGGAGTCGTTTGTCCACCATACATTAATTTTGTATTGAAATTTGTGCTAGCATGTGATATAAATCAAGGCAAATATCAAAGATAGCCTTGATGCGTGATACAAAATCTCAAAGCATAAGATAGTAATGGAGAACAATCGTTTGTTGGTGAGCGAGTGATTGAAGCCGCAAGATGATCTGATGAGAATGAATGCAGTGTTACAAAATTCTATGAAAATAGACCTCAAATTCTATCAACAAATAAAATAATATGTAAACAAGAAATCATCAAAATGAAGTCAAGAAGCCTCTATAGCAAGACCCAGCAAAAATTTCAGCAAAAATACCCAATTTTCCCAATAAAGGCGTTGCCTTTTTCTCCCGACCCCGAAGTCAGCGATCTTGATCTGCTTCTGGCTGTTGATGAGGAGATTGGACGGCTTGACGCCGCGGTGGACGATCTTCCGGCTGTGGAGGTAGGCGAGGCCCTGGAGCACCTGGCCGGCGACGTAGGAGCTAAAAGCGTAATCAATGAATTCTCATAAACATCAATACTAGGCAATTGAAGAGCTAAAAAAATAGAAAACGAATATTGTGGTTGTAGGGGTTTGAACTCCTAACCTCTTGTCCAACCTCCTAAACTTTACCACTGAGACAAGTGGCCTAAAATATTCATGTCACTCAAAAATATATACATATATATCCCAACGTGTAATCTTAACAACTGACCCATAATCTTAACAACCGACCCGTAACCTTAACAACCAACCCTTAACCTTAACAACCGACCCGTAACCTTAACAACCAACTCGTAACCTTAACAATTAACCCGTACTTTAACAACCAACGCGTAACATTCACAACCCATAACCTTAACAACCGACCCTAACCTTAACAACTGACCATATCCTTCACAACCAACCCGTAATCTTCAAAGCGAATACGTAACCTTCATTCACCACCAACTCTTAGACTTAACAATAAACTTATTATAGTGAAATAACAAGAATATATAAATTTACATACTCTAATTTAATTTCAAGTCATCAATTTCAAAAAAAAATACAAAAATATGTAAACTTAAGGGGGTTGGCGACGCAACTCGTCATCACCGTCTTCATGATCGAAGTTTTCTTCGCCTCATGAACGAACGCCGGTAAAGTTTCACAGCCAATGTTGACGCAGTCGCCGTCGATGTCGATGCCGTTGAAAATTTTGGAGAGAACTAGAAATTCCCCCCCCTAAACCTCAGTTAAAATCATCACAGTAACATCATCAAAAAGAGAGAGAGTGTGAAAGGGTATTATGGTCTTTACATGTTTAAAACTCTTGGGTTTTGTGTTTTGGAGCTCAGAGAAAAGTTTACTTTTGAGGATTTTGGGAGCGTTGAAAAAATCTTGGGAGTGGGTGGAACACTTGGACTCATTTTGGGGCTCTTGTACTTTATTCGATGAACCTTGTTCTGTTCTCAACATTTTCCCTAATAAATACCAACATTTATAACTCAACCTTTAAATAAAGAAAAGATTTTAATTCAAGGACGGATAAAAATCCGAAAAGATTCGTTGGTGGATTCGTGAAGGCTCAAGCCTATTGGTATAGGCGTAACTGCTGGAATCGGTATGTTCTGGTTTGACTGCTCAATTTCTAAAATTTCTGAGCTTTTTATTTTTTTTCGAATTTTTTTAATGGTTTTACTGTCTTTGTTATCATGGTGATTTTGATGAACTATGAGAATGTTAAGTTAGAAGTAGAAATGACTAGCTAGCTCATCATGTGTTTGATGTAATGCCTGGCACATGTTTTATGTTAATGCAATTCTTTGTTCAGTTAGTGGGGAATCTTTATTATCAGTTTGTGGGGAATCTTTACTCTTGAACGGGATGCTTGAGAAGATGAGAGGAAGAAAAATATGCTTTTGGGGTTCATAATTTGTTTTCAGTGTGATTTTTACCAATATTGCATTCCCACTGTCAACAACCCACAATCTCCTAATAAAACCTGTGCAACAACCCACAATCTCATTTGTTCAAGATAATTCTATTGGGTTGATTTGGTCATATTTGAAGTCTCCGTCCCCCTTATCTTTGATGGAGAGCTAATAGACCAACTTGCCAAGAGGAGATGACTTGAGGTGTGAGGTCTTGTTGCATTAAGTCCCATATTTGAAGTCTCTGTCCCCCTTATCTTCAGTCTTCACACACGCATATTCAGAGATTGAAACAAAAGGTCCAAAAGAAGTCATCAAGGTGTAAACTTTAAGTCAAGGTCCTCCACTGATGCCAAGAAGAGTATGTAGACCGACTTGCCGAGAGGAGATGGCCTGGAATGTGAAGTCAAGGTCTTCCACTGCTGACAATTCTTCGATAGTTAGTATCTTTTAATCAACTGAGGTTTAGCTGAGACTCTTGCGTGAAGACCGAAAGACCTTAAAGCTATAAATAGATAGTAAGAGTTTGATCATATATCATTCCTATCACATTTGCAGAATCCATCCCAATGTCACCACAGTTTGTTTTTTCAGCGCTCACAGCTCTAGTCCTCCTCTCATGCCCTAAAGCTTCGACATACAACCCCACCTTCCATCCAAAACATGACAATGTCACTGATCGACAATCACTTCTCTCCTTCAAATCCACGATATCCGGCGATCCTAGAGGATCACTGTGTTAGGAATTTGACGCCTAAACCCCTAATGCAACGGAAACGCGGTATAGAAAAAGTACACCAAGATTTAACGAGGTTCGGCAACTGCCTACGTCCTCGGGAGCCACACAGATAATTTTCTTATTAATCAAATAAGAAATTACAATTTAGGAGCGTATCTCAAAACTGAGATTTCTCAGATAAACACTGTAGCTACAGTGTTAATAATCAAAGGGTATGAACCCTTTCAATTCTCAACTGAGAACAAATACCCCACAATTCAAAACCCCTAATTAATTCCCTCTCTCTCTTCTTAAATCCCCCTCAACTAAACTGTTGAAAGCTGGGGATTAATCATAAAATCGCAGCTGCGATTTGGGGGGGGGTTTTCCGTCGCCGCCAGGGAAGAAGTCGGAGGAGAGGGGGAGAAGCACACCAGCGAAACCCTAGGGCCAAAGGGGGCTTTTATAGGCGATGATGAGGGGCTGGCGACAGCCTGTCGCCAGCGAATAACCCAGACGCAAAGGTCGGGTTCGCCAAACGCAGAGCTCGGCATCGCCTAACGCAGAGCTCGGAGGCGAACGCAGAGCTCGAGGGGGGTTCGAAACGCAGAGCTCAGGCTTCGAGCTTCGTAGGCTGGACTACCGGAGCTCGCCTGCGACCATCGAACTCGTCGGAGCTCGTCGGAGCTCCTCTTCGCCGGCGGAGGTTTGTTTTCCACCCCCAATTCTAACACACTGGCCTCGTGGAACGACTCTGTTCATTTCTGTCGATGGCAAGGCATCACTTGTGGTGGCTTCCGACATCCTCAAAGGGTCGCATCCTTGAACTTGAGCTCCCTCGATCTTGTTGGAGTTATTTCGACGGCCATAGCTAACCTCACATTTCTTAGGGAGATTGATCTGTCGGACAATCAAATTAATGGATCCATCCCACAAGAGATTGGTCACCTTTCCAGATTGACACATCTTGACTTGAGTTCGAATTCTCTTGAAGGAGGTATTCCTGCTTCACTCTCTCACTGTTCAAAATTAGAGGTACTTTTTCTGCGGGATAACAAGCTCCAAGGTGAAATTCCAGTCAGTCTCAGCAATTGCTCCAGCCTACAGGTCCTAAATTTAAAAAACAATAGCCTCACAGGACGTATACCTTCTTCATTAACAAGTCTTTCCTTGCTTTCTGGTCTATCTATGGCCGGAAACAAATTATATGGCGGCATCCCGCATACCATTGGAAACCTCACCTCTCTAACCGTACTTTATTTGAACAATAACAGCCTTAGTGGCAGCATCCCATCTAGCATAGCTAACCTCACCTCTCTAACTGTACTTTACTTGTACAATAACGAACTCACTGGCAGCATCCCACCGAGCATAGGGAATCTCATTTCTCTTACTAGCTTTGCACTTGATACTAACCAATTATCAGGAAGCATACCACACTCCATCGGTAGGCTTTCTGAAGTAAAAGAACTTTCTTTGTCAGCCAACAGCCTCTCTGGAGGCGTACCACCTTCACTGTGGAATCTCTCTTCTCTTTCTCATCTATCTATGTCATTTACCTATCACCTATCTGGGTCACTCCCACCAAACATAGGCCAAGCTCTTCCTCTGCTTGAAACATTTTACCTGGCCTTTAACCAATTCCACGGACCAATCCCAATGTCATTGTCCAATGCATCTCGTCTTCAAAACATTGATCTTTCTGGAAATAGCTTCAGTGGCGTAATCCCTCCTAGCCTCGGACGTTTACGAGAGCTGCAATCACTAATTCTATATAGTAACCACTTGGAAACCATGACACCTGATGGATGGAATTTCCTAACCGCGTTGACCAATTGTACCCAGTTGGAGTGGTTGACCCTAGCGTCAAATAAGCTTAGAGGCGTGCTACCAAATTCAATCGCCAACCTTTCCACCAATCTTCAGGGTCTATATATGGATAATAACTACATCTCTGGAAAAATATCTTCTGATATCGGAAACCTCGTAAACCTTATGGTGCTTCGTATGGATGGAAACTCGCTTTATGGCTCTATTCCTTCCAGCATCGGGATGCTTCGGAACTTGCATGCATTGGATTTGGGCAATAACAAGCTATCTGGAGAGATTCCATCTACCATCGGCAACCTTACTCAATTGAATGAACTTTATCTAGATTCCAATGAACTAAGCGGAAATATACCAGTAAGTCTGGGAAAGTGCCAAAACCTAATATATCTAAATCTTGGATCTAACAAACTTACGGGTAATATACCCAAAGAAATAGTCTCCATATCTGGACTCTCCATATATTTAAGTTTGGCATCCAATGCACTGTCAGGGCCAATACCATCTGAAATCGGGAGCTTAATAAACGTGAATATATTAGATTTCAGCATGAACAAATTGTCTGGTGAAATCCCTAGCAGTCTCGGTCAGTGTCAAGTGCTGGAAGGACTTTATCTTGGTGGGAATTTTCTTCA